GGGCTCACCGAGCCGGAGTCACTCTGCAGAGAGCCCAGGCTGCTGCTGCCGTCAAAGTGAGTCAGTTTCTTCTTCATTAATTTCCTCTCTTTGGCTCGGCGATTCTGGAACCAGATTTTCACCTGCAGAGGAGCAGAGGAGAATTGTTTTCAGTTGCTACAGGACTGAATGTGGTCCTTTGTGTACTTAGTCATAGGGAAAATCAGTGGCATGAGGACCCCTGGGAAAGGCTATGACAAACTGAGACAAAAGAGCTGTTTGCTTGTTTTTCATACAGGTAATCCTAAGTATTTAGTAATAAAATATTTATTAACAGCTTGATAAAAAGTGAGTTTTGTTGTTAGTTCAGTTATTTCTTTATGGAATGAGCTTTGATTTATTTAATTTTTTGAAACAAAATCTAACACAACAGAATCTCATGTGTCCTAGTGATTGCCAGAATTATGCAAGAATGTCGTTACACTGAAAACTGTGTGCCCTGGACAGGGCAATTCAAGATTTGCTACTGGCCTATAAACTGAGGCACAAAAGCTTTCCTGATTGCATGGTGCACGTTAATCAGTGAGTTCCAATGTGGAAGCCAGTGGAAATTCAGTTCTGGGCAGAATATCACCTGCAATACACAGCATTAATTCAAAATATTATCTTAGCAGTGCCTGAGTGGCTGAGTGCTTTCTACTTCTTTTGCAGATGGAGCCAGAATCTGCTGCTGCTTCCCAGACAGTGCAGTGGCACCAGTGTCCCTGCCCTGTCCAGCCACCTTGGGGAAGGCATGAAGGACCCGCTGAAGGAGGATCTTCATCAGGGTGGGTGGGCCAAGTGAGGATGTGAGCTGAAGGTGAGTAATGGTCAGCTGAAAATACTGCAGAACTTGTTGAGGTGTGAAATGTTCTGTGGTAACTGGACTGGCTTGGATGTGAATCCTCAGGGTTGGTTTAAAGCTGTGCACTCCAGCACTTTATCCTTGGAAGTGGCTCTGCATCCTGTCTAGTCAGTGTAATAAGTCAAGCTACCTCATTCAGGTTTGTTGTGTTTTCTTGTGCAGACAGAAAGGAAACACTTGTCACTGTTTTCTATAACCCAAAGAGAAAAAAAATCAATATTTTGCTGAGAAATATTGGTCTGTTCAGTTATTTTTTGTTAGAACCTAGAAGGGGCAGGAGAATAATGATTGGAAAGGAGGTAAAACAGTGAGAGGTGATAACACCTGTGGCTCCTGGGCTAAATTTTAAGAGAAAATAGCTGGTGAAGTCAAACAAAACATCTTAAGGACTCTGTGACAGTCTCAGGGTGCTTCTCCTTGAGGCATATTATTCCATTTTACAGCTGAAGGATTCAAATACGTGCAAAGCCCATGTAAATTTAATCCAGGTCTCTTAAATCCCAGGCTGCCATCTGAGATGTTTGGCAGTTCCTTTTGTTGTCTTAGTTCTGGAATATCATTTCAGTACCAAATTATGTTCTATTAAATCAGTCTCAAGCCCTCTCAGATCTCTTGCTTTCTGACTGTGCAGAGATAATCCATTCTCATAATTTCTCTCATATGTTTGCCAAAACGTATGAAAAGATGAAACAGTCTAAAAAACGAAACCAACATTCCAGAATTACCCTCTGGCTTCAGTGTTCTTACCTGCCTGTGAATTGCGGTTTATATTCTGGTTTGTTGTTAAATTAGAGAAGCAGATCTGCAGGGAGGAATTAGTAGGCCCTGCAGGGTCGTGTGCCAATTATGAAATAAGTCCAAGTAAGAACAGCTCTGTAATGTCAGGCTGAAAGCTGACAGGGCCAGCTGCATCTGTCTGACTTGTTCTTCACCTGTTGCCCTCCTTCCTTTTAATTCTTTTTTTCATGCAAATTTCTCTTCCCTTGAAGTCTGATTTTCTCTCTTCTTTCTCATCCTCATAATCTCCTTTCTTTCTGTATCCTTCCTATGTTAAAAGTGCTTCACTTTGCCTATTTTTTCTTAGATATTGCATCTTTCCTTCCTTGTTTAAACAATTTTTCTTTGTCCTTTTGAGATATTCCTTCCAGGGAATTTTGGATTTTAGCAGAGGCAGGAAAAAAGTTTTTCCAGAAAATCAATTGAGGTTTTAGGTAGTGTGCAGAGAAACTTGGGATAGAACAGTGTGTGTTCAGTTGTGCTCATATGATGGAGTTTTTTAATTTGTACAAAAGGGTGGTGGTGGGAGTCTATCAGGTATTTCTTATTCAACCTTCCATTACAGTTCAGAGATGTAGGTTGTATGACCTGAAATTCATTTTGTTCTTGATATATTGATGATGGTGCAGAAGAACAAATATTGCAAAAGCTGTTGCTGAGTTTCCCCAATATATACAAAGAAATAGATCGCATGTTTTTGTTTCACCTCTTCAAATACAAAACATTCATCAGGAATTATCACCAAGCTAGGAATGTTCAAGTAAATATCATTGGTTGTTTACACAAGCAGGGCCATAATATTCAAATTCAGCATTATTAAGTCAAATTATGAATGTTTTAACAGCCAGCAAAAAGACACACGGCATATTTTTTATATTTAGTTGAAACCAATTTAATTTTCAACAATAAAATCCTGGCATTCAGCAGCAGATTGAGGAATATTTGCAAAATGGGTGTTTGCTTCCCCCTTTCTGTAAGCTCAGCATGTGCTGTGTGAGCCAGGCTCAGGTTGGATGGACAATGCTGCAATGGGTGGGCTCTGGACAATTCCTGCTCAGCAGAGCCCATATAACAATAGTAAATCAGAACTAATCAGGGGATTGTGTTTTGATTTATCTGCTGGGAACAGAAGTGGAATTTGGAGGGGAGGAAATGGGGCAGGAGAAAGGAGTAGCACGTATGTAGGAAACCTTTAACAAAAGGTACAAGGCAGCCAAGGAAACAAAACACTTCAAGTGTCCTGCCCATACTTGAGCTCATCACTTCCATCTCCACTGAGACTGACCTTATTGCATTTGGTTGTGGAATTCCCACTGAATTCCCAGCAGAACCAGGACTTCTGCTTTAGAAAGTTCAGCATGAAATTCTCCCTGCTACCACAGCTCAGAGAGAAGTCCAGGCAGGATTTTGGTGATGTGGTTTAGCTTGTGTTTTCCAGAATGGGAAAAAGATGGTGTGTGCATTTCCTGGGTTATTGCAGAGCTCTAGTTTGGGTTCTACTGCAAAGGGAACCCAGTGTTGGTTACTGGAGGCATTAACATTTCTGTATTTACCACAGTTATCTCCTCAGCAGCAGTCAGAAATTCAAAGGAAAGCCTGGATGGCTGATCCATACTCTACCTGTCTCTCGGAAAGTCTTAGGTTTGCAGCCAGTTCAGACTTCCTCCTGATTGTAATGTATCTGTTGTAATGAAACTCCTTCTCTAATTCTAATCTCTGATGATCTGTGTAAACCACTCGGTACTTCTCTCTCGTTCTCGTTTTACCTGTTTTGAAAGAAGAACACATTGCTTCAAGCTAGAATTTTTTCACTTTAGCACCACAAAATATCTGACTTTACATTTGAAAATATCTGGGGGGATTTTAGGCCTGATTCTCTATGCACTTACCCAGAGTAACTCCCTTGACTCGGTCTTGATTTACAACACAAGAGGTTCATACCATCAGATACTAGGTTGGCTCCTTAGTAAATAGATAATAAACTACTTCTCATGTTCTTTATCACCCCTGCGTTATCATTTGGGAAAGGGAAGGCATTCCTGGTAAGAATAAGGAGCCAGGAAACCTGGGTTCTGTTCCCAGCTCTGCTGCAAACATCCTGCCTGGTGCTGCATTGCTCTTGTCTCTGTCCCTGGAGCTGACACTCTTACCTGCCTCAGAGAAAACTGTCAAGGACATTTTACTGCACAGAAAATACTGAAAGCTTCCAAAATTCCTCACTTCTTGTTGCTAGAAAGATTCCCACATCATTGTGATTGTTACTGCAGTTTGGAGGTTGTGTTTTCCCATCAAGTCTGGCACAGTCTGCCCACGACCTGATAACAGCACAGGGAACAGTAACATAGATTTTCAGATGACAGTTCATAAAAAAGAGAAAAGGCAAGCAATAATGCTTCACAATGGGCAGGGAAGTGCAGCATCTGCTGTTTTGGGAGCAGCATTGCTGCCTCCCTTCAGCTGTGGGTGCAGCTGAGTGGAGCAGACAGGGCTCAGCAGCATCCAGGGCATTAAAAGGCAATGGCAGATGACAGGAGCCAGGGAGCACAGATGCAAGGAGCTGAAATTTTATGGATTCCATACGGGGTCATTTCTGAGGACAGAATGTGTGGCTGCTCTGAAAGAAAGCTGAGAATGGCAAAGGCTGCTGCTGCCTCCCTTCCTCTGTGGTTTATGATTTAGGGAATCAATATATTGGAGATCAGCACCTGCTTAAAGCCAAAGCCTGAAGTTTTCCCACATTTTTAACAAATTGGATCATTGTTAAAACCAGTGTTCTCATCTTGGCTGACCACAATCTTAACATTTTTTGATGCTTCCTTGTTTACCTGTATTTATATGGACATTCCTTCAGATGTGGATATTTAGCCAGTGAATTGTCTGGGACAGAAATATATTTTCAGTGGTTTTCTTCTCTGTATTCCATTGTGGTGCTGGAGGTTGTGAAACTGTGTCCTCAGTGGTGACTGCAGCAGCAGAACCCCCTCAGGTCCAGGTTCTCCCAGGTGATGCACAGAACTCAGGTGTTTGTACCTGTACTCATCTGCTGTTGCTGCAGGTGTTGTGTGGCTTTGCACAGCAGCTCCTGTTTGCTTACAGAGCATTTTCTGACAAGCTTACAGAAATGCCCAACTCCTCACAAACCAGGTGCCACAAGCTCCTAGTAATTACCCTCTAACAGGAGCAGTTCATTTGGAATGGGGTGAAGTAGATTCCCAGCATGGAGTTGGTGACATTTTAGTGTCTGAGTGGATCCCCATGGCACAGAGCCCCAGAAAGGAGCTGCAGGGGCCATCTCCCAGTGCTGCCAAAGGCCTGCTCCTACCAACCCCTCTTCCCACTCCCCTTCAAAGCAGAATTCAGGGTACAGGACCACAGCAGAATCCTGGGTTAATATTTTTCCCCCATCTGTGGAGGGAGATGTGGTGTCTCTGTTTTTTATGAAACAAATTTAAATTTAGCATTACTTTCCACTTGCCATGCACACCACATAGGGTCACTTTTGCCTCTTTCAGTATTTGACAGTCAGGACTTGGCTATTTCTAAGAATTTTTGACTCACCAACCTATTGCTTGCATTAGAAAATTCTTCAGGTTCTGCTCCTCTCTGTACTATTTGTATAGATCCCAGAGCCAGAGTTGGTGAGCACTGGAAGTCCTGGGCAGTGCAATGCTGTAAATAAATCCTTTTATAGCCTGGATGGGGATGGTTCTGGCTCACCCTACAAGACAGGGGCTCTCTAGGACTCTCCCCAGGTTTGTAGAACTAAATCTTCATCAGAATTTGATGCTTCAGCTCTCATGTTCCAACCCTGGGGGAGCATCAGTAGTGCCTTTACAATGCTGTGGGCATCATCAGCCTGATTACTTGGAATATTTCAACAGGGAAAATAGGTGTGGGATTGCTCCTTAGGCTGTGGCCTCTGCTGAGTCCTTTGTCTCAAATGTGTTACCTGTCAGTGAAGGTGCTGCCTGGCTGGGGAAAATAAGCAGGACATTGTCATTCCCTGGCATTTCCACCGCTGTGGAACTGCAGTGGAAGCAGAATTAGCCCAGTGACGTTTACACCGATAATCCAGTGAAAAGTGCTGCTAATTTTAGAACATGAAGGTAAGAATTGTAGAGTCTCTAAGGAGCAGCAGTGATTCAGTTCAGTCCACATAAATACCAGGACATTTGTTTTCCTTCACTGGAAGTGTAAATTGTTTGTTTAACATATGGTAACCTGTGGTGCTTTAATGCCTCACTTGATATTTTTTAACTTTTGATCTCTTTAACTGGTAGTTTGGTTAAGGGTGTTTTTCCTCTTCAAATGAGACTTTGGGGTCATTCTACGGGACAAAATGTTTAACATGTTTCCTTAGTGTCCTTTGTGTTGTTAAGATGGAGTACACAAAAGAGCAACAAGGTGATCTTATCTTGACCTCTATTCTCATTCAGAAGGCACAGACAAATATCAAATGTTCTTCTATTGCCAAAACAAGGTGGTAAACTTCAAGGAAAACCTTCCTGTTTCTGGTTTTAAGTGCTTAAACCCTTACTACCTGGATAGGAGAGGGTTGTGGGTTTTTTTTTTCTTTTTTTTTTTCTTCTTTTTAGAAGAAGAAATTAAATGTCCATGGAAAACAGAATTTTCTCCCATAAGATCTTTTATTTCTGTATGAGTAGCTCTCAGGTTCTTTTAGTTGAATTGCTAATATCTGGATTCTTTTTGAAGGAAGATTGGAGCTTTGACATCTAATTTCTTTCTTAAAGTTAAGAAAATAATTTAGAAAGTAAGAAATCAAAAGTAAGGAAATTTTGAAAAATGCTCTGAGAAAAATTCTCTGATGTGTCAAATAAACCTTGTCTTTAATAATTTGATTTTTTTTTTAATGTGTGGAGTAATATTGTCTGTGAAAGACAAGAGACAGTGGGAGCTGAGATCTGCCAGAGTCTTCCAAGAGACACTTTTAGCTCTGGCAGAGCCATGTTTTAGTTTGTTAGGCTTTTACTCTCCTTGATTCACTGAGTACACTGAGATTCTTCCTCAGGGTTGGATGCTGGGCTGGAATTATTCTGCACATGGCATTTCCTTTCAAAGGCAAAGCACACTTTTATTTGCCAGAGTTAACAAACAGCAGCCACAGAACCCATCCTTAAACAGTTTGGGACTTCAGCTCCTGAATTCCATCTGTTAACCAGAGCAGATCCACTCCAGTGTGTTCTGCAGACCTACTGGCTTTAATTTCAATTGCATTTTATTTCCAGGACAAATATTACCTGAGTAAAATTTGAGGTGGGACTAGTGGATTCACCCCAGAGAGAGTGGGAGGATGTTCTTCACTTCTCAGGACATAATGGCAGAATTCAATGATGCAATGATAGAAGTCCTTGTATTAATCCAATTCTTTAATGGAATCCTGCAAATTTTCCTCTCTTAGGTGAGTGAAATAGCCAACATTTGACTTTGTACCATCTTAATTAATCTATCTTTTATTAGTGACAGGTTAAAATTACAGTCAGCAGTACTGTGTCAGTTCTATAGGAAATATGTTCTGGCATGGACAGTCCCACCATGGGATTGTGGTTGGAGAGGTTATTGGTGCTTGGGTGGAAGAGAAATGAAACAAAAGGGCTTTGAAGCAGCTACCTTTGCAGCCTGCCTGCCTTTGTGCTGGGGGAGTGGATTTCCTGGGTTTAATGAGCTATGTAAGAAGAGGGAGTTTTGTAAAAACCCTTTTTGCACTAGTGACTACTGAGGAGTGCCTTTGGAGCAGCAAGAAATCAGAGATTTCAGAGCTGGAAATCTTTTTGTGGGATATACTTTAACAATGCTGCTCCATCACACCCACTCTGGCAATTTTTGACTGGGCAAGTTTTGAGCTGGGGGAAGGGAACAGCTTTCCCATTGGTCATAAAATTCACAGAGTATTTCTTCTGAAGACAATAAAGCTGGGAGAAGGCCTCTTTATTTGCTGTGAAAATCATCACCCTTTCCGGCAATATAACTCCTGAAGAAAGGAGGGAGAAGGAAGAGACAGGACTGCATATCAAAGCAAAGAGAAGTGTTAAAAGGGTCTGTTGCCTCAATATGACAGATAGGCCTCAAAACCTCAGACAATGTAGGCCAGGAAAGGAAAAAAAAAACCCCACCATCGGACCTCACAACTTGTTTACAAAGCAAAATAAATTAGCATTAGAACCAGCCGTGGGCCCTCTTTCAGAGCCTCCTCTCTTCACTTGTCAGGAATATTCTGCAGGCACTGAAACCAGCATCATAAACCAGCATCATGAACCAGCATCTTTCATAAAATCAGAAGTTTCCTGAAGATGTCCCAGGATAGGATAGTGTGGGATTTCTGTGGGATTGCTGACAAAGCATGGCAGTGGATTCCAGGGTTTAACAGTGTTTCAGAGGAAGTTATGGCTGTCCTTGGTGACTGGATGTTACCTTAAATCATCCCAGAAATGTCAAACAGCTTCTGGCCTGAGGATATGCTCTGCTCCCACCTGCATCTCTCTGTTCCTTTAGTATTAAAAAACTGATGCTAATTTTTGAGTTTATAAAGATGTAGACAGAGATCAGGCCTCAGTTTTGTTTAGGACTCTAACTACTTATGTATTTCAAAAGTGTAGGAAAAGTAAAGGGCAAATTCTCCCTGACTTAAGTCAGTAATTTCACTGACTTAATTGAAATTGTGAAGCAAAAGTAATTTTAAATAGTGTTTGAAGACAAACATTGTGCTGCACATGGTGTTCTGTAAAGCTAAATTAAAAAAAATCCCACCAGCCACTGTATTAGAAAATGTGGCATAGATCAAATCTTACATAATATTCCTGCCAGAAGCCTTGGTGTGATAAATTGGTGTCCTGGCCCTGTTAGGTGCTAAAGGTTTGTGAAACTTGGTGTAATTCTGTGTTTGTATTTTCTGCTACATTTCACTCATCTGTTCTTTCATACATGCTCAGATTGTTCATGCTGAAAAAAAAGAATGGAATCACAGAACTGAAACCTTTCAACAGACTTGAATTTTCCCTTCTGTTTTCAATTTTGAGTATGTTCTGCTATTCTGGAATGAAGCTCATTGGCCAAATTCTGGTTTTCCCTTTGCTAGTGTAAACTTTTCTACTCATCTTCATCTACAGAAGGAATTGCATCCAAAGCAGAGTAATTTTATTCTCTTTAAACAATAAGTGGACAGGGAGAAGCACTCAACCTGCAGAAAATGTCAGTGGATTTCTGAGTGGCAAACCAGGGGAAATCCCATTGCCAATAACTGTAGACTAAAAGGAAAGTGGTTAACTGAGATTTTCCCCAAATGTTCTGTGTTCTTTAGCATTCAGTGTTTTACAGGAATGGTCTCTAAAGAGGCTTGCTCCTCTTCCTTCCATTTGAGGGAATATAACTCCTTCCTTCCAAGACCTAGTGTATACATTTACAGTGAATTTAGTCATGATGCTCTCAGTCCTCCTGTGATCAGCAGCAGAAAACTGCCATCTGTGTCTGCAGAGTAAATTTTTATTGAAGAACAATGATAGGAGAGTTGTCATCGACAGGAAAAATCTCTCCTCTGGATCAGTTCACCTGTTTCAAAACGTGTCCCCACCCTGTTTTATGGTAACATAAGTGCAGATCTTAAGGTGCACTTTCAGCTTTGTGAGCAAATTCTCCTGGGAGTTCCCTGCTCAAACTCGTGTTTTGGGCACACTTTTACCACAGGTGTGTGTTGTTTTCTCACACAGTCATAAAGTCAAGTCTACTCCTGTGTGAGTGATGACACAGCTCCATAAAAATCCTGAAGTCAACAGGACGAGATTTGTAGCTTCTTCTAGGGTGGTTTTATTCTACTTTCCATCAAAGAATTTGCCTGTAATTATGTCTTGTGTATGTGTGGAATTTCCACTTCACATTTCTGTCTGTGGCTTTGTTCTGTTCTGTGTTACAATTGCTGTGCTCACCCTCTCCACGGAGAGGTTGAGGAGACAGGAGCAGTGTAAGGGTTGGAGTGGAGTCTTTTAGTATTTGTGGCTGAAAATCCTGAGTACTCAGAGCTTCCCCTTCAAGTGTTGTGAGTCAAAACACATTGGCTTTTTCCTGAGGAGTGCAGAGACAGGGCCCTGGATTCCACGTGCTCTGCACTGAGGATCCAATCCCTGCAGACACTCAGCCATCCTTCAGGCAGAGAAAGAAGGATGCATGAAAACCTCAGCAGGACTTTCCTGCAGGAAATGTGTTCTAGTAGTATCAAAGCAGGGTGATAATCTCACTTTAAATAATGAGATCTTCCAGAGGTTTTAGGTGCCCTCACAAATTTCACTTTACACCAGTTGAACACACGATTCTACACTGATGTTCTACACTGATGTTGTTTTTAAAGTTACAGAGTAAAACTTGAAATATTTCTTTGTTTCAGGTTAGTTGTGTTGATAACAGTATCAAAAGACCTGGAGGGCACGAGGCAGTGGTAGAAATTGCAATAAAGTGTTTTTCTTTGTCATCTGTCAGGACATGAGGCTGCAAAGCACCAGTAAGAGAAGATAACCATGAAATCTCTGGAGAAGGGAATGCCATGGATTCAGGGCCTTGTTTCTGGAGCTGCTCCAAGTCAGACTACTCAAAGTGAGTGAACCTTTGGCAAGAATCTCTCCCAGCCTTAAAGGGATAAGGTTCCAGCAACATTTCTTGCACACTTCTGAGAATTTCTTGCAAAAATTACTTGCTTTAATAGTTATTGTTTTCACAGTGAAATATTATTGGTAGTGTTAGTATTGATAATTAGTGCTTTGCAGAATGTAATGAATAAATAGCAAAATTAATTTGTCTGAATGATTACTGTTGTGATCACCTCAGGTAAGTCTGAGCCTCATTTTTTCATCATTAAGAACAGTGGTCTGTATCTATTCACAGGGAATAAGGAAAGCTAATAAATAATAAGTGTGATTCCTTCCTTCTTGCAACACCAGACCTTTACTGAAATTCCCAAAGGTTTTGTAAAGAGACAGAAGGATAATGCTCAGTGAACAGAGACAGCTTGAAGGATGTAAAAAGAATTGTATTCAATATAAGAAAATTCTGAGGGGTTTGATCACGATCCAGCAAACAACATTTGCAGTGAGCCTGCTCACACCCCTGAAATCACTGCAACAGACCCAAACTCACTCAGGTGCTTTCCTAAAGGAAAATATTTTAAAGTTATTTCATTTTTTGGGAAACCATGAATGACAGCAGTGCCCTTGCTTTTAAACAGAAAACGACAGAGGATAAGGAGTGAAGGGAGAGAAAGGAACCAACTCCAGTGAAACAGATCTGCTGGCACTGTGCCTGCCTGGCCTAGCAGAAATACTAATATATATAAAAGGGAAAGAAGCAGCAGGAGAATTTATTCTCTGGATTTTTCCCCTAAAGCAGCACTCAGTAGCTTTTAAATGTGGCCTTCCACTGACCCATGGGCATTTGGGAGGGTCTGCTCCCATGGCCTGCTGATTTCTCCAGTTCTGGACACAGATATGCTCAATATCTTGTTAGACCTCCCCAGAAAGGAGACACTTCCAGCTCTCCTGGGAATGCTTTGACCTTTGCAGGCTTGAAATTTGGAAAGTTAGAAATCTCTAAGTTGTTCTTAAGCAGCAGTTAGAATGTGATATTTTATATTATGTATATATATATATATATCTATATGTGTGTGTGCTGTATCAGTCTGTCCCAGTGTCCCACTAGCAAAGGGACAGCACAGAACAAATCAGGTTTTGCTCCCTTGGTGTGACTGGAATCCACAGGAGCACAAAGCAGGTAAGGATGGGATGAGGGGCAGTGGTTTTTCTGAGCAAGGGTTCTGCCATCTGTAAATCTCACATTTAGTGAGCAGTTTGGTTGCCCTTGTAAGGACTCCTCAAAAGCAAGCTGCAAGTTTTTTCAAAACAGGCCCTCTTTTGGTTTTTCTTGGATAATATTCAGTGAAGAACAAATAAGATTTTAAAAATACAAACTTTTTCATCCCCCCCAAAAATTCTTATTCACACAGAGCAACAGCCTGTTCTGATTGCTCTGTTGAATTCTGTGACTCTCCATGAGCTAAAGTTGTGTTCAGCAGGAGTGAGGAAGAGTCTGCCCATACAAATTAGATACATTATTTTAATACAGACAACTTTTCTATGCAGTTGCTTTCAATTCTCTAATGTCTGTTTTAAGAAATTGCTTTTCTGCTAGAGATTGATGCAGTCCCTGCTTTGAAGACTTTTATTTACAGGCAGGTGTGGAGGGAGGGAGGGAAAGGGAAGGATGCAGCACTGAAATACTGGGAGCATCTCTTTAGGGGAGGAATTGAGCATCCCTAATTTCTACTGTTCTCAGTGCATGTCAAAGCTGCTCAGCACCTCAGAGGATCAAATACTTTTATACAGCAGATTATGTCTCTGTTCTTTTCAGGCAGTTTTCCCTCTTTTTCTACTCCCCTCTCTTGTTTAATATTTTTTTCGTATACAAGGTGCTGATTTTTGTTTTAGGGATGCTCAGTGTTTATATTTTTCTCTTGTTCCTCCTCCCAATCAAACAGAACCTTTCTCTCAAGCTTCATGGCTGATTTTTGCTGCTTAAATACCATTGAAGAATTGTTTTGTACTCCTTGACTGTCATGCAGCAGAGCCTAATCTGTGGCTGTATTACCAGGCTGTGTTACCATGGATCTTTGTATTCCTGCATGTTCTGAGAGCTGCTACTACAAAGTGAAGCAAGCCTTTCCTTATCATCCCTGTTTTTAAAGCATTGACTCATTGTTTGATCTTGCAGATCTCATTTCAGTGTTCTGAGGTTTGGAGGGGTTGGTTCTGGTAGAAAGCCTTACTGCCAACCCCCTGCTATGCATATTTTACTTGAACTTTTCCTAGCTACTCCAAAACTTGAGGAAAGTAAGCAAAGAATAGGTGGTGGTGAATACAATACTTCCTATTCCATCCCAATCTACAGAACTCCTATGAAAAGCAACTATTGGATATCACAAACTTTAAAAACATATCTGAAGTGGGAAATGAAAGAACACTGCTTTTCTGTTGGGATTTTAGCTGACTAGAGACTGGAAAAGTATAAGGCTGTGGCTAATTCTAAGTCTTGCACTTACAAGATAGTGTGTTTTTGGGCTTAGCTGTAGTATGATAATAAATAGTGAAAGAGACATGAGAAAAGAGAGATGTAATTTTTAAGGAATGGGGAAAAGTTGATGTTGTGGTGTGGCTGATGGACGGTGTAAATTACAGAATATTCATGAGCTTATTACTTGCTGCAGAAGTGTCTGATGCTCTCTTCAATAAACAGAACTTGCTGATGACTCAGATTGAGCCCCGAGTTTTCCCTGCACCCGACAAATAGCTCATCCCCAACAAACAAATCATTCTGCAACACTTTTCATCTCCCACAGGATTAAAGGTCAAACAAGAAACACCAGAAATAATCAACTGACCAACCCAACATCCAGTAACTGAACCAATATTTAACCACTAGCAAGAGAATCCTTCAGAGCAATCAGGATCTTGCTTTATCAATCTGAATCCTTCCCTCTGAACAGGCAAAACCCCCCCAATGACACAACAACAAGTAAAAATCTGTTCTCAGCACAAAACCTCCGTGCCCTCCTACCTGTGGACGTGGACTGCACGGTTTTCCTCATCCACTCATAAGAGCTGTGCCTTTGGCTGTTGGGAGAGATTTGCTGGGCATGGATTGTATCTACAGGAGGTAAGGGCGCAGCAGCAGCAGCGGGGTGCAGGGAGCTGTAGTCAGCAGAGCTGTAGGAGCCCTGGCCAGGGGACGAGCCATTGATGTGGGCAGCGGGCGCGGCGCTGGAAGGGCCTGGCCCGTAGGCGCCCCAGTCCTCGCGCTGGGGGCCGTAGTGGGAGCCCCAGGCGGGCGCCGGCTGCCCGTGGCTGTCCAGGGCTGCCACGGGGTGGTATCCCATGTAGTCGGAGTAGGCTGGGGCAGACACGAAGTTCTGCACGGGCAGGCTGTTGCTGGTGCACCTTGCAGATCCCGGATACATGCTGGTGTCCTTATCCAACAGATAGCTCACGTACATGATGCTCACAGCCTGCCTTTGTCTTGCTGGGACATCCTGCTCCTCGCAGGGTTTGTTTGATCTCCCTTCCCCTCCTCTTTCTTTCTCTCTTTTCTAGCCCAGCCTGGCTCTATAAATGACTCCTGCTAGCCCTGATGTCCCTTTACTACACATGATTAACAATGGTTTTACCAGGTGCTGGTGGTAACAGTTTACTAAGGTCCTGCCTGATGTCACAGATAACTGCCTGCCCCAAAATTACATTTGCATTCAAATGAAGGGCTGCCCATGCAGGCAACCCCACCTTGCTGCTAGTTCCAGTGCTTCCTTTCTCACAGATCTTTATGTATTGCCAGTCCCGTTCTTTACTTTGAGAATGGGGTTTGAAATCTCGTGGTCTTCCAGCAGAGCTGAGTAGGTAGTTAACCATAACTGTTCAGGCAGTAGAAGTATTTTTCTTGAGCAGTTCATGTCAGGATCTCACTTCAGGCACTCAGAGTTAGTCAAAGCCTGGTATCTGCTGGTCCAGTAGTAGTTCAGCTCCAATGTGCTCTATTTTTTTTAAGCTAAAACCAAAGGAGCAGTTCAGTGTTTAACAGCAGCTCTTACAGAGCTCCTCACATGAGCACTCTTCTTGACTTCAGCTCTTCAGCTGTGTGGGAGAGCACTTAGAAACCACAGTAATCCTGGTGATTTTACCATTACAAAGGATATACAAGAAGTCTCATCGTCATTTTGAGCATTTGTTCATAGGAATAGTCTTGTTGATGTTAGCAAGCTATTCATGAGCTGGCTGCTTGCCACAGTGATTGAAGTTCCTCTATTCTAACCTCCAACGTTCACAGAAAAGGAATCGTTATTGGGAGAATGCAGAATTTGTCACTTTCCCTGTGCTTATGTCTTGGTTGTGATATTGAAATGAGTGATAGTTTTCCCTGAAGGTTTTTTTTGTTCTCACTGCTGTGCTTCTTCACAATAAGTAACACCTTTTCTTGGAAATATGGGAACAAATTATAGCTTTTAAGCTAAGGAAAGCAGTTTCCTAACTTTCAGGAGCAAGCTTATGTTTGTGAGTAACAAATCCCTCTGAGATCATCTGTAACCAGGAGCAAGGAGAGAAAGTGTGGATTTCTCTTTTTAAACCTTAGCATTTTCCCTTAATGGGAGTTCACCCTGTTTTCCTTCCTTTTCCTTTAACGATGTGATACTTAATTGCACCTTTATTAATGATTCGAGTTGTTAAAAGGAGTTTTTCCTTAAACAGGTGCAAAGTATAATGAGTTTTTTCTTTGTTCAGAGGTGTATTTTTTCTCTGAGTCTTTTGCACTTTAACACCGTTTAAGCATCCAGGTTCTCGGGAGGAAGGAATCACTTTGCACACCTGACAGCACCATAGTTTCCTTTAGCGAGAGAATGGTGTCCTCAGGCTGCATCCACAGTGTGCCTTGGGGCTGGACTTGTGGAAAAAGCTTTTTTTGACTGATAATCTCAGAAGCACAGCTACCTGCTCAGAGTATTTCAGATTTTCCTGCTGTGCACTTGGGTAAAATTTGTGCTCTTTTGCTTGTTTGCTTGTTTTTGGGGGCTGATGTTTTGCTGGTGTAATTGCTGAAAAGTATTTTAAAAATCATTAGGTTGTGGGAAGTTGTCAGAAGCTGTTTCTGCTGCTTGCATATGTGAGCTTACTCACTTGCAGTTTGCACATCTGTGACAGCTGGCCACTCAAAATTACCCAGCAGAGCCGCTGGGAAGGACTCAAATCCAGGGAAGTCAGTGATCAGTGGGTCATGGATCTGAACTGCTTCATTCTGCTGCAGCAGCAAAATAAATCACAGAAAATAAAGTTATCCTGTTTAGAATTAGGTGTCTCTGAATAGCCTGTCTGCAGTTAAAGTGTGATTTTAATGTTGTAGGATCTTCCTATTTTTTAACTCCAGTGTTTTTCTCCCTTCTCAAATTTAGAGCACCGTGGTTGCTCAGTAGCTCTTGAGTGTTGAAATAGTTACAAAGAAAGATTCTTTACATCTTTTTGTTGTAAGTTGATTTCATTTCCTTTCTTCCTCTTCAAAACTGTTGAAGCCTCATCTTTGTAGGAATTTCAGTGCCTCTCCTGAGTGCAGGTGTAGCAATAAATCAGCCAGAGGAAGAAGCAGCATTTGCTGCTTTACTGGAGCCCTCCAGCTGTCTGCAAAGTGTTCTAATTATGTTCATTCAAGGAGATTTTCCTGCAGGCTTTGTGTACCTGGTAGAGCCCAGCACAGAGCTCTGCAGAAGGGCTGAGTTGGATCTGCCCTTGCTCAGTGTTCAGGAATGTTGGATCCACCAGGCTCCAGCCATGGATTCATTCTCTCCCACTGCAGCATTGTTCCATGAGGAACATTTTGCTCTGTATTTCACAATGGTTCAGTTTGTCTCATGGAGCTACTGAAAGCAGCACAATGGTGATTAGTCCTTGTATTAGAAAAATCACATAAAATCCCTTTTGATGCTTCCAATAATACATGGATATAATGACAGGGAAGGAGATTTTTCCTCTTCCATACTGCCTAAAGAAAGGGCTTTACAATCTGGGATGGTTGAAGTGACAATGCTTTTGCTCCTCTGGCCTCATGCTGTGCCCACAAAGCAGGAAACTGTTTCCTTTGGATTCCTGAGTACCCTAAGTTGGTCTGGCTCCAGCCAGCTGTACTTTAGCTTTGGTTAGTCCAAGCTTTTATAATTTATATCATTTCAGTCTTACCTATTAGATAAACCACAGTAATTTGACTGTAATTGTTGGAGCTATGTGAATAATCACATGCTACTAGAGTTAATTTAAAACTAAATATTTTCAAAAGTTTTCCAATGCAAAGTGCGAATGGAAATGAGAAATTGCCCTGAGTTCTCAAGAGGGAAAAGAACTTTATGGAGATGTTCCTAAAACCAGAGGTGCCAGAGGGCACCTTCACCCTCTGGCCTCTCTGAGATGCATTTTTCTAGTTCTAAATTTGAATAGTTTCCATCCTCTGAAGCTGGGAGTTGGTGTCCACCAGAGATCTTGGGTAGAGGCTTTATCAGGTGACGGTGATGTGGGCAGAGACCCGGCAGCAGCACTGGGATCCTCCAGTCCACTTTGATTATTCTTCTTCTGCTACATTAATAAATCTCCAGAGCTTTCCTTTGTCATGTCACAAAGCCATGGATCTGCTAAAGCCCCATCCTTGTGTTTCCAAGCTGATCTGTCTCACATTTTAACCACATCCCATTTCTCCTACATATCCCAAATTCTTATCTAAGAACCTCCAGTAGCTCTGTTTTATTTTTCTGAGTATTTATTTTTCTTTTTGGTCTCCCCAGAATAGCAGCACGCATTTTTGGAGGCGTGTTGCCGTTCCAAGGCTGATCTGTGACTCCAGTGAAGCAATGGGGACAGCTGCTGGTCAGCTGCCTGCATGGCAAGGAGACCTCTCCGGGCTTGCAGGGATCGTGACCTTATTCAGATTTCAGAGTTCTCAGCCTGCTCAGGTCTGTTTGGAGCAGGACTCGTGTCTGTCCAGCTGCAGGAAGCAGCAAAGCTCCTGAAGAATCGTGGCTTGGAATTCTGGAGATGTTGCAGGGATTTTTGCTCTGTGTTTGATTAATGGTAACATCTCTCCTTTGAAGCCTGGAGTGAACTGTTATGAACGTACCAGGCTTTTAAAAATTAACTTTTACAAGGAATTTTCAGGGCTAAACAGGTCTGAAAGGTGCTGCAATCCAGAGTGGGATTGCTGAGCAGTGGCAGAGCTGGGGTGTGAACAGCAGGGCTGGGACACTCCTGCCATCCAACATGGCACTGAGCCACGGGGCTGGAATGGGAATGGCACATCCACTGCACACCAGGGAATGGCCTCAGGAGGTGATGGCAGTGAGGAGCCAAGAGCAGGACTGTGAGGCTTTAATCTTGTATTCTTCTCTAAAGAGTAGCTGTGCTTCAAATGTATTCTGTTTGTTAATTGATGTATTTGCTCTTAAAATAATGCCCCCAACTTCCTGCTACCATAAGTGTAGCCTTTAGGATGGCTACAGTAACCAGCTGTCTCCCCAGAACTCTGAGAACACTCCTAGTTCTGGAAAAAAGAATCTCCTTTGCTCACTGTTGTTCTCTGTGCTTTGAATTTTAACACCTTGCAATGCTCTGGATCTCCTTGGGCTGTGTGAGTCAGGCCCTGCTGCAGTGGGATGGGAAATGGTGACATTGTGGCAGCCTGAACCCCATCATTCACTGCTCCATAACCTTCCCAGAAGTGCAGACAGATCACAGCCTCTGTCCTGCCTGCTGCCCACAGGAGCAGGACAAAACCCCAGCCACAGAGAGCTCCCTTTGCTCACCTCACACCTGGTGCACAGCACAGGATTCCAGCCCCAGGCTGAGGGCAGTTCCTGCCCAGCTCCCTGAGCAGCTGAGGCCAGCAAAATGGGATCCAGCATTCCCATCCGCGGGGTTTTGTGTTTGTGTGTTTGTGGTTATCCCTTCTCTGCTGCTGGAAACCCCTCCTTGGCATTTAGAAGGGAACTGTGTTATATTTTAATATTAGGGTTGCTAAATCCTGTCTGGGGAAATTCCTTACCTTAGGTGATGGTTTTGAGAGCTCTGTGAACACCTGGCTCTAGGAGCTCATTCTGGATTTGGGCATCGGCTCCTGAGCACAGACTGTATGTGGATTATCTTCATTGAATTCTTAACCAACATCAAGAATTTTTATTTTTTTCTTTTCGGGGCTGTGTTTTCCCCCCCTCCTTTACTATGGAAAATATCCCTGGACACAAGAGTGTCTCAGCATAGGTGAGGGATCCACAGGAACATTTCCTTCAGCTGTGTAGTCACTGCTGAATGAAAGTCACGGCAGTGACAATTCCCACTAGGTGGCACTTTGAATCCGCGGCACGGGCAGAGCCCCGGCTGCCTGATGGAGTACCTGGGAGCTGCCACTCGCGTTTGTACTTAGTGATTGACCAAGCTAAAAAAGGATCAATGTAGTGCTGCCTGCAGCAAGTTTCAC